GAAATTAATCCACAGCAACCCTGTGATTAATCTGATTAAAAATTTTAATAGTTTGACAGCACTAATTTTAATGCTGCTTTCTGGTAAAAAGCAAAAAAATGATGTGTGCCATGTGGTATACTGTGGTATTATACAATTCAACAGGTACTGGATTATACTGTGAGTTCAGCCTGTGGCTTGGGCAGTGGAAAAGCATGGATTTATATAAAATAAAAGAAAGCAGTGTCACTTTCACACTGTGAAAAATACAAAAAAAGTTGTTTTTCAAGTCCTATAATGAAACACATGCTCTGCACTGCATTATCTTAACAGGGCTGAGGAGCGCTGGGCAGAACGAAAGTTGCCCTGCACTGCATTATCTTAACAGGGCTGAGGGCCACTGGGCAGGATGGTATTTGCCCTGTACTGCATTATCTTAGCAGGGCTGAGGGCCGCTGGGCAGGACGGAAGTCACACTGCACTGCATTATCTTAACAGGGCTGAGGGCCGCTGGGCAGGACGGAAGTTGCCGTGCGCTGCATTATCTTAACAGGGCTGTGGGCCACTGGGCAGGACGGAAGTCGCCTTGCACTGCATTTTCTTACAGGGCTGTGGGCCACTGGGCAGGACGGTATTTGCCCTGCACTGCATTATCTTAACAGGGCTGAGGGCCGCTGGGCAGGACGGAAGTCGCCCTGCACTGCATTACTGCTGAGAAGCCTCATCAGCACCTCACCACCATTACAGACTCTAATTAATTAAAGTTGTCAGGAGCAAAACTTTAACCCTACAATGTCAAAGGCTTCCCTTAGAGTTTTGGCCACAGAGAACAGTAATGTCTTGTGAAGAGCCCCATGTCAGCTCCTGAGGCTTGTGGACAGTCTCAAGAATGACGCCTGTGGGGTCGGCTGGCGGAATCCCCCCCGTGTCGCCCTACCGCAGAGGCTGTGCCTGGGCGCTGGAGCTTCTCTCCTCCGGCGAGCACTGCTCTTCCTGCTCTTCCTGCTCCCTGGCCTCCTTGGGCCGCACGGTGCTATAGCACGCCTGCTGGAGGCCGTCGGCTGTCAGCACCGGGCTCCTGGCCTCCTCCTCGCCCTGCGTCGCCTTCACCATGCCGACCGCGTTCACCGGCAGCTGCAGCAACCTCTGCATGGGCGTCATATTTACAGCCCCCCCCCCAGCCCACCCCACTGGGCCTGTGGCACTAGCGCCCTCTGATGGACAAAGCTACTTTCAGGGATGTCGGTGCTTGTTGCCGCCCTTCTCGTCACGCCTCCTCTCCCGGCGACTATCCTTCAGAACCGACTGCTTCCCTCCCTCTGCTTCCCTTTGTTCAGCACTGCTCAGTCCCCCACTGCCCACACCCGCCACGTTTACAAACCCACCCCTCTGCCTCTCTCATGTGCCTCTTTCCCTCTCTCTCTCTCTCTCTCTCTCTCTCTCGTTCTCTGTCCTGTCACCCCTGCCCCCCCCCCCCAGCCCCTTCTCCTGGAGCTTCTGCAGCTTCCTGACATGACTCAGCTATCGTCGACTTTTGCTGGAGTGAGGGCTCCTCCACAGACTGTGACAGAGGCAGTGAATGTGACAGTGACCAGATTCCATTCAAAAGACTCAAAGTCACAGATAATATTGCACTGTTTGCACCAAACAGCCTCAAACAAAGATATATACCAACAAAACAAAGCCATCATCTGTTTTCTACAGTTTTTCATTCGGCCTCTTGGAATTATCAAAAAACCCCAGCCCCTACCAGCTCGGCTCAGAATCTCACACTGGGATGTGGGACCGGGCAGCCTTTTGCAGATGGACAGAGCAGATATCTGCTACCACACAGCACAAACAACAATCCACCTATACATCCCTCAGTTACAAAAGCAGTAGTACAGATTCACCTTTGCCTCACAGGGCTGACAGTGAAACAGACACAGGCACAGAAGAAAAATGAATCATCACTAGCAAAGTGCATTTGTAGGAGCACAAGCAGGGAGGAGGCAGCTGAATAGAGAATCTGCTAACAGGTTGGTGCTTCATTTTATTACAACACTATGAAATGTCTATGAAATTACGAGGTTATCTGAGTGATACATTTTGTATTTCCAAGGAGGTTTGAGGTGATGATTAAATTTCTTTCATATCACAAGGAGACAGTGCTAAAGAAATCACTTTATGGTCATTATTATGTGATTTTAGTTATTAAAAAGGGACAAGTATCGTAAAATGTATTAGATTTACAAAACTGCTATTTTAACATGTCACTTTAACTCTGTCACTTTAAAAGCATTGAAGCAACAGTGTAAATTTTGTTTCAGCTAACATTACAGATCAACAAGGTTTTACAATATAGGGCTGCTCAATTATGCCAAAAATCGTAATCACGATTATTGTGGTCAATATTGAGATCACAATTATTTAACACGATTACTCAATGACTGGAAATATTATGGCATGTACTGAACTAAAATAAAAGGGGCTGGAAAGGGGGCACTGGATTTATAACACAAGACAAAAGGGGAGCATCACTGCAAAACAAAATGCCGCACAATAGCAATTTTATCAGTTATTTTGGTTTGATAATCGCTGGAAGCCAAAATCGTAATTAAAATTAAAATTTGATTAATTAATTGCCCAACCCTACTATAATACAGCTTGCATTCTTCATGATTTTGTCATTGAAACTTGAATAGGTCATTAAAAGCACACGGACTAAATAAAGAACAAGAAAGTTGTTATTGTAAGTTCTTTAAACTAATATTTCTCAAAGACTTCTGCCTTATTTTGTATTACAAATGCGTGATATACATCACTAAAAATATATACCTATTGTCCATTTGGTTAGCCTCTCGGCTGTAGCCTGGAGCATGATCACTCACCAACTGGCTGCTTTTTGAAATCTGATTCTGTGCTACATTATCTCAGCCATGGAATACTCCTCAAATGACTTGTAGCAGCTGCTTGTGGCCAGGTGCACATAAAGCAAGCAAACAAGGTGTACAACACTGCCCCACCCTGGTTCCGATATGCAGTGCATTTATATCCTGTGTCAATAACTATAAAAGAAATGATATGAAATTAATATCACATATCATTCATACAGGCTACTGAATAAGCTTATGTCCCATCCAGTATTTAAATGCTTAAACAATATTTTTTTAATATTTACTGGTTAGTATATATATTATAAATATTATATAAATATAATTAATTATAAGCTTTGTGATTTATGATAACAATTAAGCTCCTGTCTAGCAACTATATACTAGTTTTAAAAATATGGCTTAAATCATGCATATAAAGATTCTGGCCTCATTCTAATGTAGAATTCATGACTTACTGTCATATTTATGCAGAACTGGTTTATAGGGTTTTATCCAAAATATTCACAGCCACGGACTTAAGAGAGGGACTGTACATAGGTCATTCTCACTGCCGGGGGCCTGTCCGGAGGCCTGCAATCTGTTCCATCACAAGTTTCATGGCACACGGTGGTTGCTGCTCACAACTGTTCTCAGAATGAGATGTGACCTCAGGAGGAGGACTCGATACCAATCAGACGGTCCTCTTTTGTGGCACACTAAAGATTTTATCATGGGATTTGTGTACTGACAGAGGCAAAAGCTACAATACAGACATCTGTATATCAGTCACTGAACTTCAAATGCTCTCAAAAAGCGAGGTGTATTCAGATGAAGTGATGCAAATACAGAGGTATTAAACAGGCCTTTCCAGTGTGGACTGGGTTCCCATTCATCTCCAGTGCAGGGAGCTCTTTGCCTCTTCACACACACATACAGCAGCTTCTAAAAATAGCTGCGCCACAGAAATTGGCAGGCCGGCCGCAGCACCAAGCATGCAGATAAGGTTCAAATGTAAAAAAACGAATTATTTCTGTAATGAAGAAGAATAAAACAAAACTCCACCTGACTCGTTTTACAGTAAGAAATTTTAGATTTTTTATCTGAAAAGTCTTATTTACATCAACGATCCATCCATTTTCCAAGCTCTTATACAGTTCAGGGTTGCAAAGTATCATCGAACCATGAATAGTGTTTTATCATTTTATAAACAAACAGACATAGATAAATAGATAGATAAGAATATTTGGTAAAAAAATAAACCAAAATCTATCATTACATTAACTTCTCAAATATTTTTGCAAAGTACAATGACTTTCAAAGTACAAAACGCATTTAATTTTTACAAATGACCTCTTGGTATATCAAGTTATACAAAGAGATGATTTACAGGCACTGATTTTGATAGCAACCAGACGGGTGCTCCTCCTAGGAATGGAAACTGCGGTTTTCTGGCGATCGTTACATATCCGTAACTACCGCGTACGTGCTCCCGTTCTCACGAGAAGGTCGGTGAAACTAGATTATTTAAAACGCAGTGTACATCAAACGAGGCTAAATCCACGATTTGCTTAGTTTGACCTTGGGTTTAACAGATCTGTATCTATGCATATAACATTTAAGTAGCTTGGCACATTTTTCATTTCAGTTGACATGATTATCTCCTTTTCTCAAGGTGCAGGGGATATGAATATGAGCGTTTGTGGCTGTCAGTGGCGCTCGCCGGGACGCGGTCTGTGCCCGCGGAGTCTGCAGCAGCGCTGCGCTGTCCAGCCGGCGGTCCTGAAAACGCACCGGGCCGCCAGCGAGGGCCGCCCTTCAGCCTATAAGGCTCAATGCAAGTATCTTATTACCGTTCGCTTTTACCAGAGCAATATGTCGCATATTTAAGCCTGTTTCATGAGGCCGACGGCAGTTTTTTGCTGTGATTTTGGTTGGGAAATTACCACAGCTTTTCGGATTCATAATGTGGGATGTGGCCTATTAGGCAACATGAATCAGTGGCAACACACATAGTTTACTCATTTTAAAGTACAAAAGGTTTACAGAATAAACCACATAGTGCGTTGTTTGATGTTGTTTAGCCCAGTATTCAGCATGGTGGCTACGCTTCTGCGCGAAGCAAGTCGCCAATCTATTTAGAACGAAGGGACATGCTTTGAAATCGCTGTTTAATGACTACCATTCCTTACCAACGCAGGTCTTTGTTTCAGTTTTTATTTTGCAAACGACACTGATGTCCACAACATAAGCCCTCCGCCAGCACTTCCTCCACGCCTTCACTGGCAGGAAATCGCCCCCCCGCACCTCCCCCCATCAGCTGGCCATGATTTTTCATGTGATAGAATAAAACGGAGCCCGCTATAAATACCCGCCGCGACTCCGTACTTACCTCTTGTAATCAGAGGAGAAAATGCCGCCGCTAGCAGGATCGTGCCCGTATTCGGGCTCCCCGATGCTGGAAGAGCCTCCCTTATCATCGTTGAACGCGGAGCTGGAAGACATGACCACGGCTTTCTTATGGAGCACAATGATGGAGATTCAGCGCGGCGATCCGGCGCTTCTTAAAGGAACACGAGCAGCTTTTCGTTTAAATGCTGTACAGAAGCACAGCTCCTTTACTGATGCTTCAATCACGTGATATTTAACCCTCCCCTCCACCCGTCATAATCATTGTTGTCGGCTTGGGCAGTAGTCTGCGTTTCAACAGTGTTTCCACAAAAACAGTTTACAATGTTTCAACAGAAGCTCTAGTGCATTGCATGTATTTGAAATACCAACTGAAAACTAGTATCGGTCTTTTTTCCAATTACTTCCTTGTAGAGTTAATGACTTGATACATTTTTTTTCTGATACATGAGTCAGTCGTGATCCAGGCATTTCACACGCCTGCACGGAATGTCATATCTAATCTTTGTAAAAGATTCGTCTTGGAAAAAGACACATCAGTGTCTCAGCAAAAAAATAATTTGCTTACATGGTATTGGAAAAAGGGGGGAAAGCATCCGCAATGTCATTTAAAATAAAATGCTGAAATGTTCACCACATAATAGGAAATGATTGCAAAAATGACAGCACGTCAGTATAAGTGCATTATTTCTTTTTAATATATCTCTATAAGGAAACCTGATGTTTTCTTAATATATCAACGCAAAAGTGTTTTCTCAATGAAGATAAATAAACATTTTTCAAATATAAAGCAACCAAACCAAATAGTGGTCGACTTTCATTAAACGTTTCATATCGTTTATGGTGATAAATTCCTTAATAATTCGAGTCTGTTTTTTAAATTCCAAACTAAGGGGCCCA